TGCAGGTTATTTAAAGCTAGAAAATATTTTTAGTTTATTAGAATTTTTTGGAGATAATAGTGATACAAGTCTTACTAATTAATCCATTGCTGAATAATTTGAAGAAGTTCCATCAGTTGTTCAGACTATTGAACTCTAATTCTTTGTGTTGCTATTGCTGCTGCTAAGAGTGTTTTGGCTGAGCCATTCTACAGCCTTCTTCAATTGTATAATTTATATGGAAGATATTTTCTGTGATTTTAATATGTGTCAGTATCATTCCAAGAGTTATTCAGACTATTGAACTCTAATTCTTTGTGTTGCTTTTGCTGCTGCCACATATGTTCGGATGTGGTACATAGAAGAAGAAGAGGAATGATGTATGATGTTGTTATTGTTCATTTTAGTATTTCATTTCAAGAAATACGATCGATTCATGATTTCACAATTGTGTCTGGAACTTACACAATTAGAATTGATAGGGGGCCCAGTATTTCAGCAAAATTATGCAGTTTGTCACTTCATTAACAGAGTTAAGCAGTTTATTAGCAAAAATTAATACAAATATAAAATTTGTCATCCATCACACCCTGTATATAAGGGAGTGAATTTTAACCCTAAATGCTGTCAGTCTTTAATGAATACATGCAGTGTACGATGGATAAATTGTCATCTAAATTACACAAAAATTAAAATAACACTGACATCTCATTTTAACAGATATATTTACCAAAATTACACAAAAATGTCTTGAAATACTAAAGAGTAAGTTTCAATAAAATTGCCATTGGCTTCAACTACAGTCTCCAGATGACTTCAGAATCTCTTGCAATTCTTCTGGACTGTCTCTTTGTTTAAGTTGGTGAATGCTGCCATATTCTTTGCCTTCAGTTCATCTTTGGTGTTACCAGGAGTTTTGTTGATCTCTCACTCAACTGCACCCCACACAATAATCAAAGAGTTTGTAGTCTGAAGAGTTAGGTGGCTAGATGAAGAGGTGATGTAGTCACAGAAATTGTCTGACAGCCATGTTGCCCATAACTAAGAAAGAAAATTAGTAACTTATAAAAGAAACCATTAACATTTATATTCTTTGCTTTATGTTTCCAAGTCGAGAGATATATTCCTTCAGAATGGGTAGAAATTAAAAGATTTGTTTGCCATGAGTTTTTCTGTGTCAACAGTATGTTATAAAATGGGGGTATATGATCCCAACAGTGTTTTAAATTATTGACAATTGGAAAACTTTCATGAAAGTATATGGTTTCAAAAATATATCTGATTATGAAACGCCAGCTTTGGAAAAAAAATAATAAGATTTCATTATTTAGACATAAACAAAGACACACAAATGCAACTCATTTTTTCATTTTCAGTCTGATGAAGCCTAAATGGCGAAATGCATAATTGGTAAAGGGAACGACAGAGCATACAATGACTGAAACATTGTGAATATGGCAATGAAAATTAGGATAAGAGTTTTAATAATTGTCATGGGTTCTTACCTATAACTACAGAATGAACTCTTCCTAACACTATGTATACTGGATATATTGGATATATTTTCAAATATATACTTCCATGAATATTTTCAAATATATACTTTCCAATTGTCAATAATTTAAAATACAATCGGGATCATATACCGCAATTTATCTTTGTATAACTGTCTGCCTGGATATATTGATTCCATTTCAGAAAACATAATCAATTTGATGAGATGAATATACTTATATTCATCAAAATAAATTTATTACAGAATATGGATTTTTAAGGTTTATTTCCTAATTGTATATATATATATATATATATATATATATATATATATATATATATATAATAATTTTTTTGTAATAATGAAAACAAACACTTAAAATAGCATTGTGATATTTATTTTGTAAGAATTGAAAATTCAATCCCAATTTATCAGACTGACTCTTACACACAAATATTATCATTTGCTCTATTTTTGACATTGAGCTCTCTGGATTTATACCCCTCTTGGAATTTCCATACAGATTACCAGATATTATAATTATCTATTATTCATATATATATATATATATATATATATATATATATATATATATATATTTTGTTAGCAAGTATTCATCGAAACAAATTTGATTAAATAGAACCAACAAGATCTGTCTGTTTAATTTTTATCATGCTTTTCCAATTCTAACTTCCAAATAAGATGTCGAGTCTTATGTTTGAAGTTGTGAATAAACTGTTCTAAGTCCATTTTTTCAATTTTTCTTATTCAAGTACTTTCAACTTTTCAGTCATTATCAAGAACTGATGTAGTGTCTGTGTGGTAGTTTTAATTCCTATATTTACACATTGGTATTCATTCTAACGCTGAATGTCTGAAATGGTCTAACATGACGTCATGTGTAACTACTATTGGAAGCGAGGCAGTAGAAAAATAATTTATTTATTTTATTTTATTTTATGTTGCACAAATGGGGTATGTGATCTCAACAGAGTTATATTTAATCAAAGTTATTTTTTATCTTTATTTAATAGACATACACAAAGACACACACACATGTGACTCATTTTTTCGCTTTCAATCTGATGAAGCCTAAACAATGAAATGCATAATTGGATATATTTCAAAACAATATACTTTCATGAACATTCCCAATTGTCAATATATATATATATATATATATATATATATATAATTGCATAATACATTTTAGACACATCAAGTGTGGTCTTCATTGATGCACTGTCCTCATCACCAATTTCAGGTTTTGCATCATATTGGCTCAAAGAGCAACCCCAATCTGACTCAGGACAAGTCAGGTTGCCACCTTGAAAGTGTTGTGCTACGCACCGCCACATTTCAAAAAGCATTCCAACATTGCTAGGATTTCAACCATTCTTATTGACATATGTCAGTCAATGTCAGCCAATGAAAAAAGACTTTTCACGCTCCCCTCCTATATAGTGTTGTCTTTTTCCTTCATCTGGTTTAGTTTTGAGCTACTACTTCTGGATTACTAACTCAATAAGCTGGTCGCTTTCTTGTATAGTTTAATCCAATGTTTTATACATTTTAAATACTAATCCCAAACAATATACTTTCATGAACATTTCTAATTATCAGTATATATATATATATATATATATATATATATATATATATATAGACATTTTTATGTTCATACATTCTTTTTATAGATACAAGTATTTAAGTAAATGCTCTGTTTATAATAAACAGTATTAATAACATTTACTGGCCTGAATGTTCGAGAAATTTTCATAGAAAATATTCGTCCTCTGGCAGGAATCGAATCTGTATCCTATATCAAACTGTCATATAGCCTGATGTGCCTTAGACGATTGAGCCACAGAGGATCATTCGCTTAGCAAGATCAATTTTACTGCTTTTAAACTACAATCTTCCATGATTCTCTCACGTACATTCATATCTGCTCAATGTGTATCCAAATGTAAACAAATGATGTCCCACATTATGAAATGGACAAAGTCTGATAATTATTTTAAGACATTTCAGGGATTGTCTGTGCATGTATTGTGATCAGTTCACGCTACATTTTTCAACAGTGAACTACACCACAAGGTATGTGGAGTTACAGAGGGGAATTGCTATGGGATATGCCATCTCTGCAGTACTGTTTTGGATGGTGATGCAGGTGATCCTGAAAGGCCTAAAGCCAGAGCACTGCTTCCTGCAGCATGAGGTCAAAATTCGGGCATTTATGAATGACTTAACAGTAATTCAAGATGATAGGAAAGTATCACAGTTGGTTCTGGAGAAACTGGCAGATTTGATAGAGTGGGTTCAGATGGCCTTCAAACAAAGGAAGAGCGGGTCACTTTCTATGAAGAGAGGTTCTGTAATTAAAGAACTGTTCTCCATTGCAGGTGAAAAGTTATCAACAGTGCTAGAGCAAGATGAGAAGAGTCTCAGGAGGTGGTATAATTTGACCTGTCACTGGGTTTGAAATCCAGTGACAAGCAGAGGCAGGTCTGTGAAGCATAGACTAATGTGGGCTTCCTGGGAAATTTAAAGTCTGGTGTATGCATTTCAGTTTGGTGCTGAGACTAATGCGGTCACTAACTATATATGAGATGGCACTGTCTCAAGCTTAGATAATTGAGAGGAAGATCAGTAAATATGTGGCTTGGTGTTCCAAGGATTTTGTTGACAGTCACTTTGTATGGCAGTTGGGAGGCTTCAGTTACCTGTTATTTCTTTGGTGGAGGAGTACAAGGTGGCAAAGGTGAAATTGCAGTCCAAGCTGTGTGAGTCTAAAGATGCTGTAATCCAGGAAAATGCACTAAAGGTGAAGACAGGAAAAAGGTGAAAAGTGTCAGATGAGATGTCAGCAGTGGAATGAATGATAAAGCAGACAGAGGTTCAGGGTGCTATAAGGGAAGGATGTGCTGGACTTGGTCTTGTGGAGAGGGAGCAATTCTGGTCAGAGGCCAATGGACAAGAGCAATGCAAGTTACAGAAACAGGGGGTTCAGAAGCTCAAGGAGAAGAGACGATTGGTGCAGTCTATCCAACAGGCTCAGTAGAGTCGATAGCACAACTGGGAGGGTGTTTATGGTATTCCGATCAGTTGGTCTGATTGGTGGCATCTCAGAGCAAGACATTTAAAGTTCCCCATTCAATCAGCATATGATGTTTCAGCATCACCTGCAAATTTGAGAAGTTCAGGAGTCACCCTTCGGCCAATTGCGTGGTGCATATGGAAACCTGCAGCATATGCTGTCATCCTGCCGAGAGGTACTATGAAATGGCTGGTACTATGAAATGGCTGGTACTATGAAGTGGCTGGTACAGCTTTAGAAAGAACTTGGTCCTGGAGGTTATGGCGGCAGCTTTGAGAAGTGCTAATATACCCTCGGCGGACCTGCAAAGGCTTGCCTTCCTGAATCAAGGTATGACTGGCAAGAGGCAGAAGACCAGGTCAGAGGGCTCAAGGAAGTGAACAGTGTTGGTTGATGCTACATTGCCGGGGGTGGGGGATATTGTGTCTAGACTGAAGCTAGATCTAGTGTTGATTGATAGCAAGAAGAAGCATCTGCTGCTTGGCCAGCTGACTGGCTTGGGAGGAAGGGATTGAAGAGACTCATAAAAGAAAGCTGCTTCAGTATAAGGAACTGGTAGCTGAGGTCCATGAGAAGTGAAATGGCTGCACCCATTTGCCATTTGAGTTTGGCCGTAAAGGCTTTTAGCTGCTTACTTAGAGATTCCTCAAGTGCTCTGGCATCCAAAGGCCGAATAAGGTGATAAAGACCTGTGGCAAGAAAGCAGTGGAAGGCAGTGCATGGATTACCTGGAAGTTTGTATTGAGTCATGTCCAGCTAACGACATAGATCAGTTGCAACATAACATCATCCAGCTATTGCGGGTCCACTATGTGGAGAGGTACTGAGCTTAATGAGCTGAAGCTTTTTTGAAGCATGGTGCTCAGATAAAGATTGCAGCTGATCTGGAGCACTTGATCTGTACATGTGTTTTTATATATCAAGTCATGACTATAGAGAACCCTCAAACATTGATCCTTGATAATGTTATACCATAATACCTATTCTATTGTAATAGACTCTCCCACAGATAATAAGTAGTAGTAGCAGTGGCCAGTTGGGCTCAGTGGTGTTGAGTGAGTCAGTCGATGTCGGACATCAACCATCACAACTAGATTGCTGTGTCATTAACTCTTATTTCAAGTTCCTAATGTTTTGTATGTCGAACCTAATTTAGGACAACTTATTGAAATACAAGCCTCCACTGTGAAAACTACTCTACAACAGATAAGAGTGTAGTTTCATGCATCAAGAAATTTCCAAAATCTGTCTGTACTCCTAATTAAGTCAAGAATAAAATTGTTAGGTGTACTGCAAAAATTGCTCTCAAAATATTGACACTAGCAAAAAAGAAAACAGATCAGTGTATTTATTCTGGATAATGTATTGAGCACTCTCTCCAATTGTTTACAGACATCTTCAGTCTTAGCTGGGCAGGTTTTTACTTGTTTATATAAGAATATCCACTTATTAGATTCAAATATGATCGATGACTTCATTCATTAGTCAACCACTTGCACACCTTTTCATAATATTGTTTCTCATATCTTTGATGTCATGTAATATTTTTATAGCTAAAAGGTTTGCTTAAACCAGGGCTTCACAACCTTTTTTGTGTCATTGCCCACTTTCACATTTGTTCACAAACTTACTTTACGGTATGGTAAAAAATACCAAAGGAAGGTAACAAATAATGCTTTTCAATTATAATTTTACTGTCAGGTCTGGTCCGGTCTGGTCTGGTGTTTCTGCAATGTATTTAGAGATTTTTGAGGAAATCCAAAGAACAATCTGTGATGTTATCAGTCCTGACCTGGCATCTCAGCATCAGTCACTTTCCTACTGCTATAATATAGCTTCTCCATGCCTTTTCTATAAATATTTTTATAGCAATTCTTCTGATAAGTATTCCTCTTTGGTACCTTGACTTTGCAAGCACAGTACTAGATGTAGCTAAGTCTCATAATTTCAATGTTGGTGATTTTCAATCATAATTTCATTGGCTGGTCTGGTCTGGTCTGGTCTGGCACTTCTATCTATTTAAAGATTCTGGATAAAATTGAAACAATCTGCAATGTTATCAGTCCTGACCTGGCATCTCGGCATCAGTCACTTTCCCACTGCTGTAAGATAGCTTCTCCATGCCTTTTCTATAAATATTTTTATAGTAATTCTTCTGATAAGTATTCCTTTTTTGTACCTTGACTTTACAAGCACAGTACTAGACTGATAGCTAGATCTCTGTAGTTAAATGAGTCTCTATTTCTCAGACGTCATTCGTATAATACAAGATACCGCTTATTCAATCTGCTGTTCTTGTGTTCCACACACTTCACCAACGTAAAAACATTCTGCATTCTCACTGCTTCATCCCTCTTTTATCAGACTGCTGACCAATCAATCAGCATGCTTTGCTTTTGCTCTCAGTTACCCAGGCAAATAGCCTCCTCCACTCTGACCAATCAGCACATTGCTATTGGTCGAATAATGCCAAACTGTACAAAAAAAACCCTGTTACAGCACATACTGCTGGAATAGTTAAACAGGAGAATAATGCCATTTTCAAGGAACAAAATGCCAATGCCATGTGTCACACGTTACGGTAAGACACTTATTTTCCTTTGCACCAGAAGTAAGCCACTCTGGCTCACTTGCTTCTATGACACTGTTTACCACAGTCTCATAATTTCAATGTTGATGATTTCCAATCATAATTTCACTGCATGGTCTGGTCTGGTCTGGTCTGGTCTGGTCTGGTCTGGTCTGGTCTGGTCTGGACTGGTCTGGTCTGGCACTTTTGCTATCTATTTAAAGATTCTGGATAAAATTGAAACAATCTGCAATGTTATCAGTCCTGACCTGGCATCTCGGCATCAGTCACTTTCCCATTGCTGTAATATAGCTTCTCCATGCTTTTCTTTGGTATCTTGACTTTACAAATTTAAACACAGTAATAATTTGGCAGCAAAAAAGGTCTCATCATTTTACTGTTGAAATGACTAGATACAACCAAAACTTGTATGCTAACAGTTTCTTCTCTCACACTTCTTGCCTGTGAAACTCTCTTTTCCAGCTTCCTGCTTCCCTGTCAACTATAATCTTCAAACATTTAAATGCCATATCAGTCATAATCTCCTGTCTCTTTGAATCTTGTTCTTTTATTGCCATCTTCATTTCTTTCACTCTCAGAAACTCCTTAGATCTTTTATTACCTGAAAAGAAATTCACAAATATTATATACCTCATACTGAAAGAAAGATAATATATATATATATATATATATATATATATATATATATATATATATAAATTATGTGTGTGTGTGTGTATAGATAGATATATAAGTAGATAGATAGGGGACATAAACACAAATATTATTGCTTGTGAGAAATTTTTCAATGCATTTACCCTATAAATAGCCTAGGTGTCAAAAATGACACCTCGGCCATTCAAGGTAAAACCTCAAATATCAGCGATTCCACTGAATATTTTTTTAAAGAATTAAGTCTGTTAAGCATTTTTGCTAAAATTCAATAATCGTCCATAAGCCTCAGCATCGAACCAAAACTAGTTATTCCATAGTAATTTGTTGAAAATTTGAAGGTGTCGAAAACGACACCTCAGCCATCCTAGTGTTAAATAAATAGTGTTTATTATTTTTGTTGTCAATTCTCCAGAACAAAGAAAATGTATAAATTCACTTTCATAGGTTTAGGTTTTATTACTTTTGCAATGCCCATTAGGAGAGACTTTGTAAATCACAGATACAATAATAGTAACACCTTCATACAATACTTGGTCAGATGCCACTAAATTCCCATATATATTTTTTTCCTTTACCAATCACGTGATCTAATTATTTCAAGATGAGGTTGACTGTGATTGCTCTCTGGCGATCCATGTTCAAGCAGTGACACTTTATTTCTATATGACAATTACAATTCTAATAATTTTTTTTTAAAACAAACATTGCTGAGGAGTGAAGGTAGTTAAAATAAGAGCAGTGACAATGGAAAAAATAGCATGAATTTCCAAGCTTAAGTCAGCCATGCACTGGGTTGGAACAATCAAAATAAAGTTTGTATTTACTTCATCAGTAATTAGGTTCTTCAAAACATGTGGTGGACCTGGGAACATCAGCAATTAAGAGGTGGTTCCATGCTCCTCAAAAGCGCCTGATCAGAGGTCTAGCTGCTGGATGTAGTTTATCATCTTACCCAGGACACAGATGTAGTTTATTGTCATACCCAGGATGCACTGTGCATTGAAATGTAGGAAGAGAGTTTCTTTTTCTGATCAAAAAGTAAGTTAGTGTAAGTCATGATAAGAATGGTTATATTGGTCACACTCAAGTCAGTCTTGTGCCGAGTTGGAATGACCAAAGTATAAGTTCTACTTACTTTGTCTGTCAGTTGACTGGAGAAGGGAAACGTTTCTCAATGGGGATGCCTTCATTTGCATTCTGCTACATCTTGGAATAAGAAGAGGATGGATATGTAACATATATAAATGTAAGTAAAAAACAAATGTTTATAAGATAGTGAGGATGATGTCAAAATCCACAAAAATTTTTCATCTTTTAATAGTCAGTTGTGCTTAGTTAAATTTGTAACATATATAAATGTAAAAAAAAAAAAGCAAATGGTTGATAAGACAGTGAGGATCACAAGCACTGCCCTGGGCCTCCAATCTGGCTACCCCTACCCTAATTGCTGGGTTTGAGTGTAGTACACACCCGATGGTAGGGTATTCAGTATATTATTAACAGCAAATTTAGGAACTGCAAAATTATAGAGAGTGATGTCTTATCAGCAGAGGAACTTAATTGTTTCTTTGCTTGTGGAACCAACAGAACCATACAAAACCAAAACCAATACCATCAGTAATAAATGTGACCTTCACAGTTCACAAGCATGACATGAGGCATCTATTCAGAGTGAATCTGAAGAAAGCTGCTAAGCCAAATGGAATGTCAAGTTTGTTTTGGTATGTTTTGTTTTACGGCATATCAACCTCAATGGCTTATTTAATGCCGATAAAATTTTTATTGCTGGTAATATTTTTTGTTTTGCTTTGTTTTATGGTATATCAACCTCAATGTGTTATTTAATGCCGACAAGATTTTTATTGCTGGTAATATTTTGTTTTGTCAAAAATCTATTTCTGGTAACATTTTTTTTCAAAAATACGTTACTGGTAATATTTTTTTTTACTTCAAAAATTTATTGCTGGAAATAATTTTTTACAAAGTATTTCTGGTATTAAAACTTATTTTTACACTTTCATAGTGTTTTTACCCCAGTTTTGGGCTTAACTATTTGCCCATAGCTGGGACCATAACAGATGCTACCACCCCAGGTCAGGGTGGACCTGGAAAAAGCAGCAATTAAGAGGGGGTTTCCATGCTTCTCAAAACCTCCTGATCAGAGGCCTTGCTGCTAGACGTAGTTTATCATCATACACAGAACGGTGAAGTGTCAAGAAGTATCCTAAAAGAATGTATCAACTCTCTAGAATCTTTATGAAAATATTTAACATGTCATTGTCAAAATCTGTGATACCATCTTGCCTGAAGTTCTCATTCCATTTCCTATGTCTAGGGATATCTTGTCTAGTTCTTATTTTTAGTACTGCTGAGTTATTGTTCGCTAGTTTCTATGGAGTCCAAGCCCACACTGTCCCACCCAGGGATTGAACTCACAATTGAAGT